GAGGAGGAGGGGAGGATAGTGGGGAGGAGGAGGATAATAAGGGATAGTGGGGGAGGAGGAGGATAATCAAGGAGGATAAGGAGGAGGGGAGTGGGGGAGGAGGGGAGGATAATATAAGGAGGAAGGGAGGAGGAGGAGGATAATAATAAGGAGGATAGTGAGGGAGGAGGAGGATAATAAGGAGGATAGTGGGGGAGGAGGAGGAGGATAATAATAAGGAGGATAGTGGGGGAGGAGGAGATAATAAGGAGGATAGTGGGGGGAGGAGGAGGAGGATAATAATAAGGAGGATAGTGGGGAGGAGGAGGAATAATAATAAGGAGGATGTGAGGGAGGAGGAGGATAATAAGGAGGATAGTGGGGAGGAGGATAATATAGTAGGAGGAGGAGGAGGATAGGAGGATAAGGAGGATAGTGAGGGAGGAGGAGGATAATAAGGAGGATAGTGGGGGAGGAGGAGGAGGGGGAGGATATAATAAGGAGGATAGTGGGGAGGAGGAGGAGGATAATAATAAGGAGGATAGTGGGGAGGAGGGAGGATAATAATAAGGAGGATAGTGAGGGAGGAGGAGGATAATATAGTGGGAGGATAGTAGGATAATAATAAGGAGGGGGGAGGAGGAGGAGGATAATAATAAGGAGGATAGTAGGAATAATGAGTGGGGGAGAGGAGGAGGATAATAATTGAGGGAGGAGGAGGTAATAGGAGGATAGTGGGGGAGGAGGAGGAGGAAGAGGAGGAAGGAGGAGGAGGAGGAGGAGGAGGAGAGGAGGATATAAGGAGGATACTGGGGGGGGAGAAGATGGGAGGAGGAGGAGGATGAGGAACAGGAGGAAGAGGAAGATCATAAAATCGAAGATTTGGAAATTCGGAAAATCGGTAATTTGGAAATTCAAAGATTTAAATATCGGATATTCGAAAAGTCGAAAATTCTGAAATTCGATATTTCAAAAAATTAAAATTTGTTTTTATATCTGTCTGTCCCATCTATTTTTTTTTTTTTTTTTTTTTTTTTTTTTTTTTTTTTTTTTTTTTTTTTTTTTTTTTACCAGGGAATTATATGCATATTCCCCTTATTATCAAGTTAAAGAAGTATCATTACAATATCATCTACTTTATAACCTTTAAGAATCTATTGATTAGGTAATAAAACTATCACAATAAATTAGGTGATTAATCCATGCACAATTCTTTAGAAGTTTTGAATGGAACTATTTGACTTAACATACACATGAATGTCTAAGCTATTCCACATCTGAACATAAGTAAAGTGTTATAAGTAAAGGGAATATAAGTAAAGTGTTATAAGTAAGGGAATATAAGTAAAGTGTTTATAAGTAAAGTGAATATAAGTAAAGTGTTATAAGTAAGTGAAGGTGTATAGTAAGTATAAGTAAGTGTTATAATTAAAGTGAATATAAGTAAAGTGTAAAGTGTAAAATATAAGAAGTAATACGTAAAGTGTAAGTAAGTGAATTAAAGTGAATATAAGTAAAGTGTTATAAGTAAAGTGAATATAAGTAAAGTGTTATAAGTAAAGTGAATAAAGTGTAAAGTGTTATAAGTAAGTGAATATAGTAAAGTGTTATAAGTGGAATATAAGTAAAAGTGTTATAAGTGAATATAAGTAAAGTGTTATAAGTAAAGTGAATATAAGTAAAGTGTTATAAGTAAAGTGAATATAAGTAAAGTGTTATAAGTAAAGTGAATATAAGTAAAGTGTTATAAGTAAAAGTGAAGTAAAGTGAATATAAGTAAAGTGTAAGTAAGTTAAGTAAAGTGTAAGTAAAAATATAAGTAAAGTGAAGTAAAGTGAATATAAGTAAAGTGTTATAAGTAAAGTGAATATAAGTAAAGGTTTATAAGTAAAGTGAATAATAAGTAAGTGTAAAGTGAATATAAGTAAAGTGTTATAAGTAAAGTGAATATAAGTAAAGTGTTATAAGTAAAGTGAATATAAGTAAAGTGTTATAAGTAAAGTGAATATAAGTAAAGTGTTATAAGTAAAGTGAATATCAAGTATAAGTAAAGTGTTATAATAAAGTGAATATAGTAAGTGTTATAAGTAAGTGAATATAAGTAAAGGTTATAAGTAAAGTGAATATAAGTAAAGTGTTATAAGTAAAGTGAATATAAGTAAGTGTTTAAAGTAAAGTGATAATAAGTAAAGTGTTATAAGTAAAGTGAATATAAGTAAAGTGAATAAGTAAAGTGTAAGTCTGAAAGTATAAAGTAAAGTAAAGTGATATAAGTATAAGTGTGAATATAAGTAAAGTGTAAGTAAGTCGTAAGTAAAAGTGTTATAAGTAAAGTGAACATAAGTGAAGTGTTATAATTAAAGTGAATATAAGTAAAGTGTTATAATTAAAGTGAATATACGTAAAGTGTTATAAGTAAAGTGAATATAAGTAAAGTGTTATAAGTAAAGTGAATATAAGTAAAGTGTTATAATTAAAGTGAATATACGTAAAGTGTTATAAGTAAAGTGAATATTAAAATAAGTAAAGTGTAATAAAGTGTTATAAGTAAAGTGAATATAAGTAAAGTGGTTATAAGTAAAGTGAATATAAAGTAAAGTGTTATAAGTAAAGTGAATATAAGTAAAGTGTGTAAATGAATATAAGTAAGTTATAAAGTAAAGTGAATATAAGTAAAGTGTAAAGTGTTATAAGTAAAGTAAGTAAGTAATATAAAAATATAAGTAAAGTGTTATAAGTAAACGTTATAAGTAAAGTGAATATAAGTAAGTGGTTATAAGTAAAGTGTTATAAGTAAAGTAAAGTGAATAAAGTTAAAGTAAGTTATAAGTAAGTGTATAAGTAAAGTAAAAATGAATATAAGTAAAGCGTTAATAAGTAAAGTGAATATAAGTAAGTTGAACATAAGTAAGCGTCGCTGAAGTGTTCGAAATAAGTAAATGTCGTCGGAGCTCTGCACATATAAGTAAAATGAATATAAGTAAAGCGTTATAAGTAAAGTGAATATAAGTAAAGTGAACATAAGTAAAGTGTTATAAGTAAAGTGAACATAAGTAAAGTGTCTCGGGTCGCAGTGCCGTCCTGATGGAGCTCCTGCTTGAGAGTGCCAAGTGCTCTGTGCCGAGACTATGCGCCTTGTAGAGGACTGTGCGGCCCGCCATGTCCCGTCGGTGATGAAGGCTGTCTGGTAAGGATTGTGGTGTTGATGGGGGTGCACAAAGGGATGAATTGGATAGGATGGCGGAAAATGATATCGTTGTTTCCAGGGACTGATGCGGTTGTTCTTTTGACACGCGTGACTGTGCGTCTTAAAAGGTTGACAGTTTATGGAAAATTGACAAAAAAAGAAAGAAAGAAAAAAAAAAAAAAGAAAAAGAAAAAAAGAAAGGAAGAAAACAAGAAAAAAGGAAAGGAAGAAAAAAAAAAGAAAAAAAGAAAAAAAAGAGGAAAAAGTGCTAGTGTGACAGCATCTTAATATTGGTTCCTCTGCGCACAGGAGTCGATAGATAAGATTATTCGCGCGAGCTTCCACTTTATCTAGTAGGCTGAGGTGCGTCTGTGCTGCGCCATTCCAGGGTAAGCAGGCATGTTCCTTCACCGAGCAGACTTGAGACGTGCAACTGAAAGGCAGCTTCTGCTATTAGAAGCTGAGATATCTGTCTCAGGCCATTCAATTTTGCGATGTTTTGCTTGCTAAGTTTTCGATTTGCTGTTTGAAGGAAAGTTTATAATCGAATTTGACCCCGAGAATGTTGAGAGAATCTTGCTCGTTTAGAGACGTTCTTTCTCTTCGGTCACTTCGTCTTGAGATGGTTAGTGACTGGCTCTTGGCAGCAGCGGACTGAACTTTCCACAACTTTCCCCCATTTTGTTGTTAAATCGATGATCCACTGAAGTCTTTCGGAGTTTTCCTGAGTGCTTCTCTGCCTAACAGTTGGGCCACCGACTTCCATCCCTCCTTGGGTGCTCTGCAGTTGGGAACGTCGTGGGTCTTTTTCAGGTTTCTGATAAAAAAAATTCTCTCTCTTTCTCTTTGCCTCCCTCTCTCTCTCTTTCTCCCTCCCTCTCTCTCTCTTTCTCCCTCCCCTCTCTCTCTCTTCTTTCCCTCTCTCTCTCTCCCTCCCCCCCTCTCTCTCACACTCAGTCTCAGTCTCACTCTCTCTCGCTCCCTCTATCTCCCTCTCACTCTCTCTCTCGCTTCTTCTCTCACTCTCTCTCTCTTCGTTCCCTCCCTCTCTCACTCTCCCTTTCCCTCCCTCACTCCCTCCCTCTCTCTCTCTCTCTCACCCTTTCCCTCTCTCTCGCCCACCTTTAACCACAGGCGAGAAGTCGAGGTCGTGGTCGAGGAACTGGCCGAGGGTCATGTGGAGCAGGGACATCGAGGTCGACTCGACGTTCCTCTCGAGGCAGAGCTTGGTGCTTAAGAGGCGAGGATTAGGCAGGGGCTCGTTCTCGACCCTCGCCCTGCGGAACTCCGATATGCCTGGCGGAGGAAATGGAGAATGGAGGGTTTAATTAATCAGCTAGTTGTTATTGTTATCATTAGCATCATAATCATTATTATTATTATCATCATTATCATTATTGCCATTATTATCACCATTATTATTATTATCATCTTTATTATTATTATTATTATTATTATCATCTTTATTATTATTATTATTATTATCATCTTTATTATTATTAGCATTATTGTTACTATTATTATTATCATTATCATTGTTGTTTTGTTGTTGTTGTTGCTATTAGTACTATTCGCTATTATATTTTTTTCATTATCATCTTTTTTTGATATTTTGAATCTTGAAGAAGAAAGAGGAAGAAGAAGAAAAAGAAGAAGAGGAAGCGGAAGATGGAAAAAAAAGAACATGAAAAGAAAGAACGCGAAGGAGAAAAAGGAGGAGGAAGAGGATAGCGAAGAGAAAGAGGGAGAAATCGGAGGAAATGGAGAAATAGAGATCCTTGGGGAAGATTTAAAAGAAGATTCATTAAAAAAGAAGAAGAAAGGGAAGACGGAGAGAGCCTTTTCTTCATTTATAAGATGAAGAAGAGAAGGGGAAGAAAGAGATGAAGAAAAGGACGAGGTAGGAAATGACGAAGAAGAGACGGAGAAGAGGAAAATGGAAAAAAAGACGGAAGTGGAAGGAAAAGACGTTTCTCGACACGCCTGGCGAAGGAAATGGAGAAGTGGAGAGTTTAAAAATAATTCTATTTTTTTTAAGAAGATGAAGAGAAAAATAAGGAGGAAGAGCTGAGTAAGGAGGAGGAGGACGTGGAGGTATAGGAGGAGGAGGAGGAAGAATAGGAGGAAAAAAGTGAGAGGAAGAAGATGAACAACTCCCGGGAACAACTCCCCGTGGTGGTGATCCTACCGTCATCGTAGAAGGGAGGGAGATACCGCAGGAGGGGCGTCATCGAAGCCCCCCAGAGAGGGTTATTGAAGTTATTGCAGGTTCCGTCGATGGACCTGTAACGCCTGTACGCCTCGCAGTCTGCAGGAACCTCCCTGATCTTGGTTTTGTTGCAGAATTCGTCCGATAGAGAGAGTGATCCTTGCAAAGGGAGGTCGAAGGCCACGAATTCGTTGCTGAGGTTGAGTCTGTAAGGAAGGGCGTTTCTTCAGCGGCGAGGTAAGAAAACCAGACGAAGAGAAAGAAGGAAGGATAGAAGGAGAGGAAGAAAGGGAAGGGAGAAAAACGTATCCGAAAGAAATCGCCTCCAGAATGCTCAACATGGATTTTTGTTTTTGTTTTCGAAATCTTCGTACAGAAATCTCAAAATATCCTATAAAAACATCAAATATAAACTATTCCAATCTTCTCGCTCTTCAGTTACTTTAAGAAAAAAAAAATCCTAATATTCTAATATCCTTTAAAGCTCCTTCATTGTACTCTAAAGACAAAATCACACCAAAATGGCCACCTTTATGCCTCAGTGACCTTAAAACCCATAACCTTTGCCTCAGTGACCTTAAACCCATAACCTTTCCTTGAGTTCCTCCTTCACCTCCTCCACGTTCTTCAATCACTCAAAATTATCTCAAAATCACTCAAAAACAAGAAGAAGAAGAAGGAGAAAAAGAAAATGTTCCTCAGTGCCCCCTACTTATCTCTTCTTGGGCTTATTCTTCTCATTCGATTTCTCTGAAACAAAATCAGAAAAAATGACCAACACCTTTTTTCCTCAATGACTCTTCTTGAGCTCTTCCTCCTTTTCTTCTTCTCCTCCTCCTCCTCCTTTTCTTCTCCTCCTCCTTCTTTTTCTTCTCCTCCTCCTCCTACTTTTTCTTTTCCTCCTCTTCTTTCTTTTTCTTCTCCTTCTCTTCTTTTTCCTTCACTAAAACAAAACACACACACACACACACACAAACATATTTAATCCTCAATGACCAAAAATCCCTAATCTCTTCTTGAGCTCCTACTCCTTTTTCTTTTTCCTCTCCTCCTCTTCCTCCTTCTCTTCTTCTTAATCTCCTTTTCATCTTCTTCTTATTCTCCTTTTCTTCTTCTTCTTAATCTCCGTTTCTTCTTCTTCTTAATCTCCTTTTCTTCTTCTTCTCTCATTTTCTTCTTCTTAATCTTTTTCTCTTCTTCTTAATCTCCTTTTCATCTTCTTCTTATTCTCCTTTTCTTCTTCTTCTTAATCTCCTTTTCTTCTTCTTCTTAATCTCATTTTCTTCTTCTTAATCTCTTTTTCTTCTTCTTCTTCATCTTTTCCCTTTTCTCCTAAATCTCCATTTTCTTCAATCACTTCTTCTTCTTCTCCTTCTTTTTAACCTCTTCTTCTTCTTCTCCTTCTTTTTAATCTCTTCTTCTCCTTCTTTTAATCTCTTCTTCTCTTCTTCTTTTTAACTTCTTCTTTTTAATCTCTTCTTCTGCTTCTTCTTTTTAATCTCTTCTTCTGCTTCTTCTTTTAATCTCTCTTCTTTTTTAATCTCTTCTTTTCTCTTCTTCTTCTTTTAATCTCTTTTTCTTCTTCTTCCTCTCCCTTTTCTCCCAAATCTCCCTCTTCTCCAATCACTCCAAATCAAAAACCTCCTTCTTAATCTCGTTTTCTTCTTCTTCTTCTTCTTTTTAATTTCTTCTTCTTCTCATTCTTTTTAATCTCTTCTTCTTCTCCTTTTTTTTAAATCTCTTTTTTTTTCTTCTTCTTCTCCTTCATCCTCTCCCTATTCTCCCAAATCTCCCTCTTCTCCAATCACCAAATCCAAAACCTCCTTCCTCTTAATCTCATTTTCTTCTTCTCCTTTTTAATCTCTTCTTCTTCTTCATCCTCTCCCTTTTCTCCCAAATCTCCCTCTTCCCCAATCCCTCCAAATCCCAAACCTTCTTCTTAATCTCTTCTTCTTCTTATCCTTCTTCTTTTTAAAGTTTCTTCTTCTTCTTCTCCTTTTTAATCTTTCTCTTCTTCTCTTCCTTTTAATTCTTCTTCTTCTTCTTTTTAATCTCTTCTTTTCTTCTCTTCCCTTTCTTTTATCTCTTCTCCTTCATCTCTCCCTATTCTCCCAAATCTCCTCTTTCCCCAATCCTCCAAATCCCAAACCAACGCCCCCAAAAGCCAAAAGCCCCCAACTCTCTTCTTGAGTTCCCTCGACGCCTCCACGTACAGAGATCCTTGTCTCGCCGCCTCCACCACGACCGGATGGGATCTCTTGAAGTCTGTCTGGAAGGTCTCCGCTGGGCTTCCCTTGACGAGGCTGACGTTGCGCTGCTGGAGGTCGTCCTCGAGTTTCTCTCTCGCGTGGATCTGGGAGAGGGCGGCTTCGAGGCTCTCTCTGGTGAAGGGGGCGGGGCGGGCGGGCGGGGGGGGGGGAGGAAGAGAAAGTCTTGTGTTGGTCGTTATGGTTAAGAAATGAATATGAAAAGGAAGGGGTATAGAAGAGGAGGGAGGGGAAGGAGGAGAGGGTGAAAGATGGAGAAAAAGAAGAAGAAAAGAATAGAAGAAGAAGAGGAAGGAGGGAGCTGAGGGACGAAGGAAACAGAGAAAAAGAAGAAAAAAGGAGAAGAAATAAGAAAAGAAAGAAGAGAAGAGAAGAAGAGGGGAGGGAAGAACGAGAAGAAAAAGAAGAAAGAAAGAAGAAGAGTAAGGAGGGAAGGTTGAAGACGAAGAAAAAAGAAGAAGTAGAAAGAAAAAGAGGAGAAGATGAAGAAGAGAAAAAGAGGAGGAGGAAAGATGTAAGATGTGCACAAGGAGGGAAAAAGATGCAAAGATGTCAGGTATCGCTTAATGACATCTCACAAAGTCTTCGTTAATCATCATGAGAGAGAGAGAGAGAGAGAGAGAGAGAGAGAGAGAGAGAGAGAGAGAGAGAGAGAGAGAGAGAGAGAGAGAGAGAGAGAGACGAGAGAAAGAGAGAGAGAGAGAGAGGAGAGAGAGAGGAGAGGAGAAGAGAGAGAGAAAGAAGAGAGAGAGAGAGAGAGAGAGAGAGAGGAGAGAGAGAGAGAGAGAGAGAGAGAGAGAGAGAGAGAGAGAGAGAGAGAGAGAAGAGAGGCGAGAGCGAGGAGAGAGAGAAGAGAAAGAGAGAGAAGAGAGAAGAGAGAGAGAGAGAGAGAGAGAGAGAGAGAGAGGAGAGAGAGAGAGAGAGAGAGAAGAGAGAGGAGGAGAGAGAGAGAGCAGAGAGAGAGAGAGAGAGAAAGAGAGGAGGAAAGAGAGAGAGAGAAACGACAGAAGCCAGAACAGAGAGAGAGACAGAGAGACGAGAGAGCCCCGAGAGAGAGAGACGCCCTCATGCAGCCAGATGACGTACGAGAGAGAGAGAGAGAGAAAGCAGGAGAGAAGAGAGAAAGAGGAGAGAAGAAAGCCCCAACGCACCGAGATCGCACAGACGTGAGCTCAGAGACCCAAGCACGCACGGGAGGCAGAGCAGGAAGAGAAGAGAGAGAGACACGCCGAGGCAGAGAGAGCAGAGAGCAGAGAGCGAGAGAGAGAGACAAAGAGCAAGAGTACGACGAGAAGAGAGGAGAGTTACAAAGAGGCAACGAGCAAAAGAGAGAAGCAGATCGAAAGAGCAAGAGAGAAGAGAGAGAGTCAGAGCGAAAGCGAGAGGCAGAAGGCAGAGAGCACCGCGAGAGAGAGACGAGAGAGAGAGCACCGAGAGCAGACCAGTCCAGAGAGAGACGACGAGCACGATCTCGAGAGTAGTCAAGAGAGTACGCGACGAGACGAGAGAGAGAGCGAGAAGAGCTCAGAGAGAGAGAGAGCCGAGAAGGGGAGAGAGTAGAGACGCAATCCCTCAACCCCTTCCTCGATCTCTCACTCGAGAGAGAGAGACGCGAGAGAGAAAGAGAGAAGCAATGCACACAGAGTCACGAGAGTCAGAGAAACTCACAGAGGCTAAGCAGAAATTACAACCAAGACATCCAACCCATCAGCAACACAACTATTCACGACGAGAGAGCACTCTCTCGCCCTGAGAGTCACAGACCATCCCGTCTCATCGCTCAGTAAGCCTAGTATTTCTTTGGTTATAAACCAGAGGAGAAAGAATTCAGAGAAGAAGAAGAGAGAGGAGAGAATCGTAGAAGAGAAGATGAAGAGAGTAGAAATCGTGTTGAAATAGAGACGAATGATTGATGAAAAGGAAGCCGCGAGAGAAAGAGGGATCACCTTGTGAAAAAATTTGACAACAACGCGGTAAAAACATCCCTGGAGAGGGTAAATAGAAGAGCCCTCAAGAACACAAAGAGTCACGAACTCGCTGATAGCACCACACCCATAACGAGAATAGCTAAAAAATAAACAAAGAGAATGAAAGAAAGGAATAAAACAGGACCAGCGAACGAAACAAAGACTAGCGCATCAAACACCCAGTCGACTATGAAAACGTGCAGAAGGCCCCTCGGTGAAGGATAGAGGAAGAGGGATAAAAAGAAGAAAAAGAAAAAAAGACATAAAGGAGAAAAGACGAAAAAGAAAAAAAACAACTCATAAAAAAAAAAAAAAAGAGAGAAAAATGCATCATAATGATTTTTAACTTGGTAGAGAAGAATGATATTTTATCTCTGTAATTGATCTTCATCTCTTCTTTCTTCTTAAACAATGTTCTCTACTTCTTTCCCTCTATGTGAATCAGCTATCCTCACAAGAGGAAAGAAAAAAATCTCAAAAAATCTCAAATCTGAGGTATCAAATTTCTTATATTCTTTAAAAACATTATCAATATATAAGGTCATAGATCATCTATTCACACACGCTTGAATGAGAATAAAGGTAGAGGGATTACCACACAAACGTTATAGTGGAACAAAAAAATATCCGTTACCCCGTAATATGTATCTAAGGAAATTCACATATACTTATATTATACGGTTACACCATTAATTTATTTCTACATGCATGTGCTAACGATCTAATTTCTTCAAATTGTTAATAACAAAATAATCCTGGGATAATAATTAGCCCTTTTAATCTCATTCGTATTTGTTAATTAATTATGAATCCTAGTATCATAATACGATAATATAAAAGACAAAATGTAAATAAATAATAAAAAATGATTAAATAAGTAGATTTCTATTAATGTCGTGTGTGTGTTGTGCTGAGGTGTGTGGTGGTTTAGGTATGGTTGTATAATTCGTATAACCTGTTTATTATTTTCACTCCACTTTCTATATTAATTTGCTTTTGTGTATGCCCTCCTTACCACCCTTTCGCCCGATTCTGGTATTCCTCCCTTTTCATTCATGCTTCTCTCCTCACCCTATTCTTCCATTATTAAGCCTTTCTTTCCTCTATACCTCCTCGAGTTCCTCATAAATCTGTAAACGAATAGACAAATGTTGAAATTCTTCACTTAATGCATCCACTTTTCCATCTTCTAGTTGACTTGTACAGACAAAACACCTGCATTTTTTTTATTATAATAATATAGCTATAATATAATTATAATATATATATTAATACATACTAAGTATATGTGTGTGTGTGTGTGTGGTGTGTGTCGTCTGTTCTTGTGGTCGGTGGTGGGCTGTGTGTTATGTTGCTCGTGTTGCTTGTTATAACTACTTATCTCACCATGTCTTCATCACTTCCCTCCACGGACTCAGTTCCTTCTCTTTTAGCTTTTGTTTCTTTGTTAACCCTGCCGGAGTCCGTTTCAGGTCTCAGGTCTCGTTCTCGTTCTCGTCTCGTCGTTCTCGTCCAAATGTTCTCCTCATAGGCGTTTCCTTTCTCATCTCTCTTTCCTCTTTCTCCTTTCTTCTATCTTTTTCTCTTTCCCTCTTTCTTTCCTTCCTTTCCTTTCCTTTCTCTTCTTCTTTCTCATCTCTTCGATTTTCTCTTTTTCTCTCTCTCATCTCCTCATCTCCTCTGCTCACTCACATCCCTCCTTCCTTATCTCTCTCTCTCTCACCACATTGACCGACGAAGTTTGACATACAAATAAAAAAAATTGTCATAAGACGCGTTTGAAAGGGAATATTTCTTAAGCGGTTTTGCTTATATTAATTATTGTTCTTTGGGGGAAATATGGAAACTCGACTTATTTTTTAAGCTTAGTGTGTATGTATGTATATACACACACACGGTATCTATGTATATATATGAGTGTGCGTGTGTGTGCGTGTGTGTGTGTGGTGTGTGTGTGTGGTGTGCTGTGTGTGTTTGTGTGTGTGTGTGTTGTGTGGTGTGTGTGTGGTGTGTGTGTGTGTGTGTGTGTGTGTGTGTGTGTTTGTGTGTGTGTTGTACACCATAAAATATCTAATCTATCTATCTATCTATCTATCTATCTACCTCTATCTATCTATCTCTATATCTATCTCTATCTATCTATCTACTATCTATCTATCTTATCTATCTACGCTACTTCTATCTACTCTATCTATCTATCTCTACCTACCTACCTATCTATCCTATCTAACCTACCTATCTATCTTCTATCCATACCTATCTATCTATCTACTACTATCTGCTACCTACCTACCCTATCTATCTATCTTACCTAACATCTACCCTATTATCTATCTACCTACCTATCTATCTATCTATCTACTATCTTCCTACCTATCTATCTATTTATCTATCAATCTTATCTATCTATCTATCTATCTATCAATCTACCTATCTATCTATCTAACCTCCTCCTATCTATCTACTACCTATCTACCCTCCTATACCTATCTATCTACCTATTATCTATCTACTACCTATCTATTATCTATCTACCTATCTATCTATCTATCTACTTAGCATATAACCAAAAACTAATTAAATGACGCTTGAAGATTCTCCCAATTGCCAATGGCAGCGTTAAGAGAGACAGTCTCTTGTTATCGTAAACAAGGTATTTCACCAGTTGTGGCTAAACAGATATATTAGTGATAATTATAACCTTTTTTGTGGAGAAATGAATGGTTATTTTTTGTTGAGAAATGAATGTTTTTTTTTTTTTTTTTTTTTTTTGAGAAATGATTTTTTTTTTGATAATGAATGTTTTTTTTTTTTTTTTTTTTTGAGAAAATGAATGGTTAATTATTTTTTTAGAGTTGAGAAACGAATGCCTTTTTCCTTTTTTTGAGAAATGAATGGTTACTTTTTTCATTATTTTGTGGAGAAATGATTTTTTGTTGTTGAGAAATGAATGGTCATTAAAATCGTTAAGTTTTATGTAAACAACTAAGCAATGATAAATAATTACAAGTTAGAACCTGCTTATTGGAATCTCCGAAGCCTCTTGTTAACTATATTGTAAAAAAAGAATTATTCTAGAGAACCAACATCGTAAAAAAAAATGATTGTAAAATTAACTATTATTCTAGAGGAATATCATCTTA